CTTGCTGCCATGACCATCTTGCAGGATAGCCTATCACCTCATAACATTTTGGATCGTGGCCTTTCTTTTTACAATGAGGATAAGGAGTTCGAAACCAACAACGCGATAAATCATGCCCCGACTTTTTACAGTGAGAACAAGTTGAAGAGCCACGATTGCTATTGCTAGTAGAGGAAGCGCGCATAGCAAATCCAACAACCTCCAAAGATTTTGCCTCGGATTCCTGGCGGGCAGTACGAACCCTCTCTTCTTGTACCACCAATTGATATGCTCTTTCCAAACTAGGCAGAGGATCTTGAGATAAGATGTTTGTTCGGAGCGAAGATTAATTAGCAGGATACAGCCCCATCAAAAAATCGTGAAGACGGGATTGCTCCCTTCATTGTTCATGAAGCCGACCTGCCACACAAGAAGAACATCACGTACAAGAGATTAAAGGCTCATGATGGTCGAGTTCGTGCCATATAGTGTAATTTCCCGTAATAAACAGAGACAGACATCGACTTGGGCTGCTCACACTTGGCAAGCGAAGACCGAAGTTGCTAAAAACAAGGGCCATTGGTTTGAGCGTAGCGCTGCTTGAGATGATCCCAAAAGGACTTAACTTCTCTGAATTTCGAAAGTTAGGATTTAACCTCTGGATCAATAGTATTAGACAACCAAGAAATTAGCATTGCATTGAGAGCAGTCCAGTCAGACTTGGTATAGAGAGGTTGTGGCGTGGTAATTGTCCCATCGAGGAACTCGAATTTTCTTCTGGCCTCCACGGCAGTCTGTATATCGGCGACCCATTCATCATAGTTGTCTCCTTTAAGCCGAGTAGGTGTAATGTAATCGCCGAGACGATCTTGAGGACCAAAATAATAGGGGGAATTCGGTTCTATTTTAGTTGGTGGTGGCGGTGGTGGTGATGTATCATCACCGGCCATCGTTGATTATGGAGGAAAAAAAATTAACCTGCTCTTGATACCATGACAAATTAAAAAGAATAGAATAGAATAGCTTGATTTCTCATTAAGCATAGCCCTAAATATATATAGCATTACATACTTTCCTTAACTTAGAATCATAAGATCTCCTAGAATATTAAGGAATACACAAGATAATATTAGGGAAAAAATATCTTACTAAAATATAATATAAGATATATCTCAATAAATTTCTTTGGCTTCATGTGGATATATTGGTTGCATCAATTATTTTGGTTGTGGTGTTTAAGACATTTGTTACGGTTGTGATAACTAAGGCTTTTGGTTATAGTATCAGGACATTTCTTCTGGTAAGTATAGCTTCTGAAGTTATTTTATTATAAAGGTAGAGAGCTTGCACAAAATTTACTTATGTTGAAATGACACAAACAAGTTGGATTGTCACTTGCTCAATTGGAGAATTCGCTTTTTTTCTTCTAAGCCGTGCTTCAAATCTTCACCTTATCGAGGTATTCTCTTTTTAAAAAAACATAATGTTTGTTTTTGTTTTGCATCATATATTCATATCTTGAAAATCAGCTTGCTTGGCTATTTTGGGGACATGTGGCTGGAAACTGGTAATGGATGTTTAATCTGTTTTTTGTTCTCTATTATGAGAATCCCTAGCATAAGTTTGGTGTTTATCTAGAGTATATTCAAAATGATGCCAATGTGGTTGATATACAATTATTCTTGTTAAGGTTGGGGCATTCCTTGTTTTCTGCAAAATCTTTTCCATCTTTCAAAATTATTTTCTATATAAATAAAAAAAGCTTTCGCTGTATCTGTTTTCCTTGATTGTTTGGGAAAATCAAGGGAGCACAATCACAGTGCTATGTGTTTCCTTATATTCCTTTTTGAAATGTGGTGGATATCTCTAGTACAATGCTGACACCAAGAACGGTTAGAAGTATTCCAAATTTGTGAAAGGTCTTTCTAGAATTGAGCTCCATCCTGTGTTTGTTCTTAATTTACGAATGATCCTGCTTTTTTATCATTAAGTTTTTCTTAAGTGGCCAACTCGTTTATCGTAATGAATTACCAAGCCCTTGCAGCAATAATCTATTTTGTGCATGTTTTGTCTGATTACTCTAATAGCATGCTTAATTTAATCTGGAATTCTGAATTCCGAGCTTTGTTCAGTGCTGCATTACCTCTTTTGCTTGGTGTGGTATTTTCTGGAGTGCTACGTACTTGTAGTTTCTGCTAGGCTACATTGGTAGAGATAATAAAGCTAAAAGCTGGATGCATGTCTGTACGGGAGGATACCGGTAAGATGTGTTAATTAGACGGTAATACTATATTATGCCTCTAAGCATCTATTAACTAGCATGTCAGCTCAACTTCCATAACGGCCTTCCTCTCGGCCACGTGGAGAGCTACTCTGGACCACGTAGGAGCCTGCTGCCTACAAGGTCGGTTTGCCACCTATCATTATAGGTGGCACCAGCTTGGTTGTTGTAGGGAATATTTCAAGCATCATAACCCCAAGCTTGAACCCCACTGTGATCATACATTTAAGTATGGTGGCGTCCAAAGGGAAGGAAAAGAGAGCAAAAGAGTCGCCAACAAGTTTTAGGAACTTGTAAAACCGTTCACGAGGTGAAGGTTACATCCCTTAACGATCCATGAGATCGTCAACTCCATAAGATCTTGAACCAAATAGGGTTCGGGGATGAGGGTACGAATCCAATCTACAAAAGAAAGGACCCGCCCTATAAAATAGGCCTCTACTTTATTCTACTCGTATTCATGTGCGCTTTTTGACTAACATGCAAACATTAGGTTTAGTCCTAAACCTGTTTAATCTATGTTGGTTGAATATTAATGCACAAATAAATATATTATTGGCGATCACTTGAATTAAAATCACATTAGCCTAAACCAAATTATTAATTATCTTATTAAGCATGATTTCAAGTACAAATTCCCTTTAAACATACGTAAAAGGCGTGATCAAGCAATAGCAATAGTATATAAATAATATCAAGCAACATAATAATAATCATGATCATAATAATAATAAGGCATAATAAAGCTTAAATATAATAGCAAGATCCTAGGCATGATACTAACAAGATTAATAACAAATCCTAGCATGTCACTAAACATCAAAAATCAAAGCTTTAAACCTAGCATGATACTAACATGATAACATGATATTAGAAAAGAGTAAAAGGCACCCTAAACGTGATACTAGAAAGCAATAAATAACATCCTAACATGATACTAGGAACAAATCTAAACATGCTTTCTACATTGAAATTAAATAGGGAGTAAGCTATTTACTTACTTCGAATCCTCGTACCTCTTTCTTTCACGTCTAGGGCGAAGACAACTTCGAACTTGGCTAGGTGCTTCTAGATCTCGTGTATGCGGCATTGTGTTTATAAAAAAGGGTTGGTTTAGAAAGAGAGAGAGAATATCAAGTAAGCCTTGATGAGAGTTGATGATTGAAAAACGGAGGTCGAGGACCCTATTTATAAGAAAAATAGTCCGGAAAAGCATAAAATTTGATAAGGGATAAAACTACACGTTGTCGCCGCAAATCCACTCTGTCGCGAGGCGACAAACTTGTCGTTTGGCGACAGCCTAGCTTTTACGCGCTTTCCACGCGGAATCCGATCTTTAACCAAATTTGATCTACAGAATCCGTACAGAAGCTAAAATCGTACAATTAAAATAATAATAATATTTTATTCCAAATAAAAATCCATCATAATATAATCATTAATCCTAACTCTATTAGAATTTAAAAGAACCTTCTAGAGAATTCTAGAAAATTATAATTAATCCTAATAATTTTAGGAATAACGATTAATATTGGGCCCTCCTGTAGATCATTGGGCCGCATGTAAAGAACTAACCGGGCCTAAATTAGTATTTTATCCATAACTTCCTCATTATTCATCGGAATTGGGCTTATAGTATATCGTTGGAAAGTTCTTTGCGAACCCCATCCAACTACGGACCAAACTAAACTGGATTAGCTATTTTTAATAACATAAGGTTGTTTTCAAAATTAGAGAGAAGAGAGTTTCTAATAAAAATTAACCGCAACACTTGACTTTTCACACTTTCACCTCATTCGATTATGGTTCGACGCGAAAGGTATTCATCACTGGGTTTGGTTTTGGGGAGACACAAATGAGTGTCTACAATTGTCTTTCTATATATACCCAAGCAAACATCCATCAAAAAGTTACAATCTCTCTCTCTAAAAACACTTTCTCTCTCTTCATTCTTTCTTCTCATCAGATTGCTAACTTTAGCATCGGAGAGGTTAGTCCCGGATAACCCCCGGGTTAACTTATCTATGTTGACTGTGCAGGTGCATAATTGGACGGTAAACCTTTACCAACCCACGAAGATTATCGGCACCAGAGCTCACCCGGAACAATTGGCGCTAGAAGGAGGGGATAGTAATAACTTCTATCGTCCAAAGGACCTTCGGCAGTCAGGGAAGGAAATAATGAAACCACAACACCGATACCAGAAATCGAGAACCGCCAGTATGACTATAACATTCTTAATGCCAATGCAAACAAAACCGTGAACAGCATACCTAAGATCACGGTGGAAGATGAAACTCACCTTCTCCACAAGAATACCGGGAACACACCCGTAACGCCCGAGCGGAGCCGGGCGCACACACTAGACCCCCTGGAAGGGTTTACCCCATAAGAGCTTGAAATAATGGCCAAGGTCATGCAAGCAATGTCCCAGAAAAGGAAAGAGGCTGAGAAAACAGTCGCCGGGACACGGGTGAACACACCGGCAATACCTGTGGTTGTGAACCTGGAGAGTTAGTTTAATCAAGCGGGACAACAACCACCACCTCAGCCATAAGGCCGAGAGGTAATCATTCCAAACGAACGCCAGCCCACCCATGATACGCAGATAGGGGACTCTGGGTCTCACAGGCATGAAGTTAGCAACGGGCCGGTAAGACGTATATCCAGAGCTATAGTCAGGCCGCGGATATCCACATTTACCCAGGAAGTACTTGACCAGCAAATGGAAAGAATAAAAATGTCGTCATGTACGTTCGACGGCAAAGGGGACCCCAAACGATATGTAGCGGCCTTCGAAAGCCACATGTTGTATACCATCACCGACGCGGTGTGGTGCAAAGTATTTCCAACAACGTTAACGGGTCCTGCTTCGGACTGGTTTTCTAATTTGGAACCCGGTTCAATTGACTACTTTGATACCTTGGTCGAGCTGTTTACCGGCCAATATATCACCAACAACGCTAGACAAAGAACTTCTGGAGAGCTTATGGCAGTAAAGCAGAGGAAGGATGAGTCGCTTAGGGACTTCATAAGACGATTCAACAACAAGGCCAATACAATACCAAAATTACAACAAGAAATAGTTGTGATGGCTTTAATGAGTGGCTTAGGTGATAATGACTTCAAGAAATACATGGCGAGGAAATCTTTCCCGAATTTGGGTGTGGCATTTGGTAAAGCCCATGAATACATAAAGAGTGAGGAGCTATTGAAGACTAGCAGTTAGATAGCATCACCTGGACCCTCTCAAAGGCAAAACGACAATATTGCACCTAACTCTTATGCTGGTGGGATGAACAGACAGCAACAGCAAAATCAACAGAGAACCGTTAGGCCAGCAAAAGGTCTAGGCCGGTACAGTAGTTACACACAGTTGAATACGCCCAGAGTCGCTATATATTCAATAAATCAGCACAAAGAAGACTGGAGTCGACCGGCACCGATGATAACTAAGGGTCGAGATGCAAAGAAGTATTGCATGTTTCACAGGGATGTCGGTCATTACACCGAAGAATGTACTCAGTTGAAGGAAAATATAGAAGACCTCATCAGAAAAGGGCACTTATCGCAATACCAAGCAAGGTCAAGCCGGCAGCAAACTTCACAACCCAGGAAAACCGAGTACCGAAAGCAGGGTGACTCGTCCATGCAGGACGACACTTATCGGCGTAATCACGCTGGGGAATACCGGCAGGGCAGTAACACATCAGGCCCCAAAATCACAATAGAGGTTATTATCGGCGGTCCAGTGCATGGGGGCTCAGTCAACGGGGCGAAAAAGAGTCTGTCAGAACACAGGCATACAGTGAATGCACTAGGGATAGAGGAGCGACCCAGGCTAGCCTCAATCCCTTCAGTATCTTTCTCGGAAGCAGATGTTTAAGCATAGTCTTTCCTAACGATGATCCTTTGGTTCTAATACTGACGATTAATGTAGCCGACATCAAGCACGTGTTAGTCGATGGAGGAAGCTCAGCTAACATTTTGTTCGCAGAGGCATTTGACGCAATGAGGATAGGCCAGAAGTATTTGACGCTGGTGTCATATCCAGCCATTGGTTTTAAAGGGTCCACAGTCAGACCAGAGGGTAGCATCGCTTTGTAGGTTAGAATTGGTGAAGGTATGGCAGCCAGAGATGTTATGACAGAATTTTTGATAATCGATGTACCCTTAGCATACAACGCTATTGTCGGCAGACCGCTGATTCATGACATACAAGGAGTGGTTTCAACATATCATCTGACGATGGTGTACGTGTCAAATCTCGGGAGAACAGAACGCATTAGAGGAGGTCAGACAATGTCCAGGGAGTGTTATGTAACAGCTCTAAAGCAACCAAACTGGCAACCCACCATTCAGCAGATAACCCAAAAAAAGGGAGCGAACACCGTCCACACACGACCTGGCAATGGAGAACTTTGATACTCGGCCAATGACGGTCCCCCGTCCTTCGTCGGGAGGGGAAACCGTCAAAATTGAGCTACAACCAGGAGTCTCGGGAGAGTAGTACGAATTGGGTCCGATATGGATGTCGATACACGATGCTACTTCGTGGAACTTTTACGAGAAAATGCAGATGTGTTTGCCTTCTCGGCAGACGAGATGCCTGGGATCCACCCAGACGTTATGGTACATAAGTTGAATGTGGACATGAAGGCCAGGCCGGTTAGGCAGAAGAAGCGGAATTTCTCGACAGAAAATATTGAGGCCATACAAGCCGAGCCTTGCACGTATCCAGAATGGTTAGCAAATGTGGTCATGGTGAGAAAGTCGTCAGGAAAATGGAGAATGTGTGTGGACTTCACAGATCTAAATAAAGCTTTCCCGAAGGATTGCTATCCGCTGCCCAGGATAGATAGGCTGGTAGACTCAACTTCCGGCCATGCCCTGCTTAGCTTTATGGATGCGTTTTTTGGTTATCATCAAGTCAGCCAGTACGAGCCCGATAGGACCAAAGCGGCTTTTATCACTGATGTCGGCGTCTTCTGTTATAGGGTAATGCCATTTGGGTTGCGAAATGTAGGGGCCACGTATCAAAAGCTAGTAGACAAGGTCTTCGCAAATCAGAAAGGGAGGAACGTAGAAGTATATGTTGACGATTCTATTGTAAAAAAGCCGACTAGCCACGGATCACGTTACAGATCTAAGAGAAACATTCGAAACCCTGCGCCACTACCGGATGAAACTAAATCCAGAGAAGTGTGTCTTTGGAGTTCGATCGGGGAACTTTTTGGGATTCATAGTTAGTAAAAGGGGGATAGATGCAAACCCAGATAAAAATTGAAGTTATCCTTAGCTTGCCACAACCAAAGTCAATAAAAGACATACAGAAGCTTACCGGCCGCATGGCGGCGCTGACAAGGTTTATCAGCAAATCAGGTGATAAGGCCTTATCGTTCTTTGTGGTTCTCTGTCAAAATAAAACATTCGTCTGGGGAGAAGCGCATGCAAAGGCGTTGGAGGTGGTAAAAAACCATCTAAGGTCCCTACCGACTATAGAAAGGCCAGAACAAGGAGAGAGCCTGCAGCTGTATATCTCGGCATCCCCAAAGACAGTCGTGGCAGTACTGCTAGTGGAACGGAAGAAAACTCAAATGCCTATTTATTTTGTGAGCCATGTCTTGAATGCGGCCTAGAGGCGATATCCCCTGGTGGAAAAAATTGCGTATGCGGTAGTCATAGCCGCACGAAAGCTGCAACCATACTTCGATGCACACACCATTGAAATCCTAACGAATTAACCGTTAGAGAAGTCTTTGCAGAGGATGGAAACATCTGGAAGATTGCTCAAATGGATGGTAGAGTTGTCGAGTATGTGATAGTTTACAAGCCGAGAGTGTCGATAAAAGCTTTGGCGTTGTCTGACTTCATTGTTAAAACATCCTACACAGAAGAAGAAGAAGTTGTCAGGGTATGGAAAATCTTTGTTGACGGTTCCTCGGCGTCAACTGGTTCAGGGGCCGGTATTGTTATGGTCTCCCCGTAAGGAGACATATTCGAATACGCTATCAAGTTTAAATTCAAAGCCTCAAATAATGAAGCCGAATACGAAGCATCCTTAGCGTGAGTACAGTTTTGTGTAGTTGTTGAGGCAAAACGGATTGAGTTGACAACCGACTCACAGCTAGTAGCAAGTCAGTTTGATGGTACGTATGAGGCCAAAGAGCAAACAATGATGGCATACTTAGCCAAGTTAAAGGCAATAACGGCCAATCTGGAACATTTTGAAATTAAGCTGGTCCCGAGAGCTCAGAATACACAAGCAGATGCATTGGCAAAGCTGGCAAGTTTAAGCTTCAATGATCTGGAGCGCACTGTAATGTGGAACTTTTGGAACATAAAAGCATTGATAAAGAAAAAGCTCCAGCAGAGGTGAATTGTGTAGACGGAGGTCGGGAATGGTATGACGAAATATTGGCCTATAAGGTGCACAACGTCCTACAACCGACAGGATTGAAGCCCAGAAGGTTAAGAAATATAGCATTTGGTTTGTTATGTTCAGGGGGATGTTGTATAAACGGGGGTTCTCATTACCATTGCGAAGATGCATAACGGCTTATGAATCAGATAGGCTGATAGAAGAAATACACGAAGGAGACTATTGAAATCACGCTGGGGGACGGTCAATGTCCTTAGAAGCAATGAAAAGAGGTTAGTATTGGCTAACAATGAATGCAGATGCTTTATAGTATGCAAAGAAATGTGACAAATGTCAAAAGTTTGGGCCGGCAATAAACCAACCGCCAAACGACTTGACACCAATCCTCAATCCGATCCCGTTTGCACAATGGGGAATGGATATTGTCGGACCTTTCACATCAGCAACAGGAAGCAGAAAGTTTCTGATAGTAAGGATAGACTACTTCACCAAATGGATAGAAGCAGATACGGTAGCAAAAATAACAGCGAATTAGGTAAGGAAGTTCATCTGGAAGAACATATTTACCCGTTTTGGATTACCGGTAGCAATGGTATTTGATCACGGCTCTAAATTCGATTGCGGTCCAGTTAAGAATTTCCTGAGCATATACAAAGTCAAGTTTGCGTAGTCACCCGCAGTCAAACGGGCAAGCGGAGGCCACAAAGAAACAGATACTAATTGTGCTAAAAAAGAAGGTAGAAGATGCCAAGGGCTTGTGGGCAGACTTGATTCCTGAAATATTATGGGCGAATAGAACGACAACAAAGGAAACTACTGGGGAGTCGCCTTTCAACCTTGCTTTCGGCTCAGAAGTAGTTATTCCCGCTGAAGTTGGTATCCCCACGTTCCTGTAGGGAATATTTCAAGCATCATAACCCCAAGCTTGAACCCCACTGTGATCATACATTTAAGTATGGTGGCGTCCAAAGGGAAAGAAAAGAGAGCAAAAGAGTCGCCAACAAGTTTTAGGAACTTGTAAACCAATCACGAGGTGAAGGTTACACCCCTTCACGATCCATGAGATCGTCAACTCCATAAGATCTTGAACCAAATAGGGTTCGGGATAAGGGTACGAGTCCAATCTACAAAAGAAGGGACCCGCCCTATAAAATAGGCCTCTACTTTATTCTACTCGTATTCATGTGCGCTTTTTGACTAACATGAAAACATTAGGTTAACCCTAAACCTGTTTAATCTATGTTGGTTGAATATTAATGCACAAATAAAACTATTATTGGCGATCACTTGAATTAAAATCATATTAGCCTAAACCAAATTATTAATTATCTTATTAAGCGTGATTTCAAGTACAAATTCCCTTTAAATAAGCATAAAAGGCGTGATCAAGCAATAATAATAATATAAATATCAAGCAACATAATAATAATCATAATCATAATAATAATCATAATATAATCATAATCATGATAAGGCATAATAAAGCTTAATAATAATAGCAAGATCCTAGGCATGATACTAACATGATTAATAACAAATAATCCTAGAATATCACTAAACATTAAAGATCAAAGCTTTTAACCTAACATGGTACTAACATGATATTAGAAAGAACAAGAGGCACCCTAAACATGATACTAGAAAGCAATAATAACATCCTAACATGATACTAGGAATTAATAAATAATAAACATGCTTTCTACAAGAATAGAGCAATAAGATTACATACTTTGATGCCTCGTACATCTTTCTAATAACAAAATACACGCGTTAGTAAACTTCAATGAAAATAATAAATCAAAGAATTAAATTAAACGATTGAAGGAAAGAGTTAAAAAGTTTACTGG